GCGCGGGCTCCCGCACGCGGCGCAACTGGAGTACAGCCATGGTCGCCGAATTTGCCCGGGAGAAAGTGCGGAAACCATGCGACGGGCAGGGTCGGGAGGTGGCTCTTTCCATGCGACGTTCACGCTGGGTGATTTGGGGAGAATCTCGGGATGGCGCATGTGAACCATCTGGCTTTTCGGGATGGGCGATCTTTCCAGAAGTGAATCTAATGACTCTTGATGAGACCCATATGAAGAGGAGTTTTATCCAAATGAGGTGGGTTTACTAATACGTTCCAGGCAAGAAAGCCTGCTGGATGCTGGATGACGTGAGCGTCAAAATGCGGCAAGCCTCCCCATCCACCTGGACGAGTATCGGACAGTTTGCAGTAGACCTCCACGTCTGAGGCCCAGGATGAGTGAAAAAGGGAAATCCAACGATGTAAACTCACTTGGGTAAGTAGATGTAAGTACTAAGCAGCATCTAGGAGCACGAGTCCCAGAAGTTTTGGGTGGATCATACTTGATGCCCTCTAGAGATAAGAACCTCTAGTGACCAAGACTGGACAAGAAAACAGAATCCCTTCGTTCCATCCTTGACCTCTTGACTCTTAGTGGCCACATGTCAACAAGAAAGGCGCTTTGCAAAGCCTACTCAGCTTCCGCTTCCAAAACGAAGCTCGAAGATCTACTCAGCTACCCTCCAGCTCCTCACCCTTTCTTCCTTCCGAGAAAAAACCCTCCAAGCACCGAACGAAGCCCGCCTGAAGCCATGGAGCTGGTCCGTGCGCGGCTGAGCGACTGGACGCCCTCGGCGATCGATGCCGTGTGCTTCGCGCCGGAGGCGTCAGGCACGGCGCGGCACGGTGCGGCAGGATGGGAGGATGGAGGCTGGCGTAGCTGCAAATATCGCAATGGCCTCCAACCTAGTAGTGATGGCCTCCAACCTAATGGTCAGAGAATGTCAGAGAGATTGCTAAAAAGTGTTGATAAAGATGAGTCAGAGATCATCTGGACGTCTATAGACATGGTCAATGATCATCCGAACTCGAGGCCGTGTGATCCACAGACATGGCCCATGAGGATTCCATGTGCAACCCATCCGAAGTGCAGTGACAGCATCTTGAAGTCCAGTGATCGGCTAACACTTCGGCACCCCACCGAGTTGTGTTCAGGACCTTCCTGGACTTGGGTCACAGGGTCGGAGGTAAATTGGTTCTGATATCCTCCTTCAGAGATATGATCATATGGGTGTGTATGAAACGAAAGGGAGGCCTCCCCAGGCGTTCTGACCGCCCCCCCGGAAGAAGGAGCATAGACTGAAACCAGCTAAAACCCATTGCAGGATGTTCCTCTATTGAAATGCACACCCATCTTGCTGCTCAAATCGATCCTTTTCCAACTCTGGAGACTTTCTGCCTGCGATGCCTTGGGATGAGAAGGCGGACTGATGGCCAGGATGTCCCCATCGAACCCGTGTAACAGTACTCCTTTTTGGGAAGACGGAAGACAACATCCATCCACTTCGCCCCCCCCCCAGCTGTTCCTTCGTTTTCCAGCGCCAACCCGGCGGGGTCGAGGGTTGAAGCTGCTGGCACTCAGCCGTCAGAACGGCAGCGTGGAGCTGTGGGCTGCTCGACTGGATATTAAACAACAGTGGGGAGGGCATTTGGGACTCTGGCGAGACGGGTGTGCTGAGCATGCTATATATAGTCCTTTTTGGGAGGGACAGCACTCCTGACGGAAGAGCTTTGCTGCAAATCAGGCATGATTTAGACCGACTGACTGGTTGGGGAGAGAAAGCGGCCCGTTGTGGTTCGCTACCAGTGGAGTGGGTTTGGTGTAGCCGAAGTGGACATGAAAGATGCTTTTCTCGTGCTGAAATGGGTGTGGCTTAGACCATGAGTGGCACAATAAAGACCCCAGGCAGAACGATACGACTCGGTAAGACCTGGTGACACTTGGGGTCTCTTGGGATCGCTTGTGGCTGTTCCAGTTCCTTCGTTTCTCCAAGGACACGGAGACGTGGCACTGTCGCCTCTCCAGCTGCCCCACCAGCCCGCCCGAGGGGCGCGCGGCGGTCGCGCTGCTCTGGGCGCCGGATTTGGCCTCGGCGGAGGGGTGGCGGCTGCTGAGCGCGGGGCTTCAGCAAGAGATCGTGGAGTGGGACTTGGAAGCCTGGACAGCAGGGGACTGACCAATGGCGCGAAGCAAGTCATGGCAGCGACAGGGCCCCTCTGTGTGTGTTTTATTTATATATTTTGTTTGGGGGGGTGGAGTGGGGCCGGTTGGTTGATGGGTATGACGTCTGCACCTGAAGTTTGGATGGAGGTTCGGGGGCACCTATAATCACCTATATACTTTCGCCAGAACCTCCGACTCAGGAGACCATGGCAATCCTAGAGACCACGACCTCAGGCGAGCGACCGCAGCGATCGAGCGGGCCCTGCGATCGAAAGCTGGGCGACAAGAATTGGAACCACTTCAAGCATCAGGTCAACCACTTTCATTTTAAAGTGGTCTTTAAAGGCCTAGGGTTGGGGTCAGTCACAGGTGTTTCTTTCTTAAGGGAGGGGGGTCTGGGATGGGGGGAGACCTTTTTCGAAAAAAAAAAACAACGCATCAGAGAAGGGTCTCCGTTCCAGGCGCCGGCGCGATCTGGGCGCTGGCCTTGGAGGGCCAGACGATGGCGGCCGCCTGTGAGGACGGCACGTTGCGGCTCTTCAGCTTGGCCGAGGGCAGGCGCCAACGGTGGTGGAACGGTGGTGGAACTGGCGGGGAGTTGCGGGGGTCAAGGTTTCCCACCAACCCGGTGTAGGGCAAAGAGTGATGCGTGACTTGGGACTGGGCTTTTTGGAACCACCCACCGCCCAAAAGATGAATCCTTTCCTATCAAAACCGAGGTCACATACCTCGGCTCTGATCGATGGCCGACCTTCACGCCCCGATCCCTTAAGGGCTTGGCGACCCTCCGACCTCCCTCGATGTTCCGCCGCGGCGCGGAAGCGTCGGTCCAGGGGCTCGGTGGTGCACGTGCGGCGCCTGGCCGTTGGGCAGAAGCGCCTGCTGAGCGTGGGCAGCTGCGAGGGCTTCCTCTACACCGGAGGCGCGCTCTGAACGGGGGCCACCATGGTGGGGTGCTGGGTGAAGAGGAGGAGGAGTTCAGAGCATTGGTTGGATTGGGCAGCTTGTGCATGGGCGCCCAAATAGATCCAAATGGTATCACATGATCACATTTGATCACATGAATTACTGTATTCATTTCTATCTCTCTTCCGCAGCAATTGAGTTGAGTAAGAATCGTTGCCGCGGGAGCTTCTCGCTTGCCGCTTTTGGACCCTCCTGGCCGGACCCGATCACGAATTTCTGGACACCGGACGGAGGGTTGGAGGGTCGTAAGGGGCCACACTCCCTGGAAGTCTCATGGATTTGGAAGATGGTGCCTTTCCTAGACGCTCCTGGACCCGAACCTATGCAGGGGTCGGACCCGAATCCTCTGGAGGGGTCTGGACCCTCAAAACCCTATGGTTTCGAGGGACCCAGTCGGGCGTCGTTCACGGAGCGTTTGGGTTGGATGATCATGAAATCCAATGGACATCCTCTAGACAACCCATGACAACCCTATTGCTCCAGCAGTCGCATGTCGGGGAGTGAGTGGAGTCTGGGCACTGGGCACCCCTCTCCTCCACGTTCGGCACCCCGTTCTTTCTACCTGGACCCTCCGATCTTCGGAGTGTCCTGGCTGGACTACCCCCACACTACCGAAAAAGGCTTCCAGACAGGGCACCCCACGCCAGATGAAACATCTAAGCCAGATATGGCTTTGCCCTCGGGTTCTGGAGGGATTCGGTGGACAACCCCCTGTGCTCCAGCAGTCCCCTCCCCCTCTCCTCCAAGTTCGGCACCCCCTTACAGCAACTGTTGGCTTCTCAGCTTTCGCCTCCGCGAGCTCTCGGAGCCCCAAAGGCTCGGAGAGCCGAGTCAGCAAGTGGTCGCTGGCCACTGGCGTGTGCGAGGGGAGCATGTGCGTGGAAGAAGCTGGAAAAGAGTCACTCGGAGACATCACTCGGATCGCTGAGCTGGTGAGGTTGGGCGTGAGGTGGGATGAGACAGGTTTCGGGCATCTGGGCGAGTCAGAGGGACTTATAGAACTACCACCTGGGACTACGTCGTAGGGTTCTTGCGATATGAGGAAGCTCAGCCTGTGGCTTCGTAACTTGAGGGATTATCGCATGGAACTCGACTTCCGGGAACTCTTCAGCTATACAGGGCATGTATATCTATCTCTCTCTCTCTCTCTATATCATTTTGATGTGCTAAGGAGGGGCATGTTTTTTGGGATTCTTTTTATCTATCCCCAGTGCACTCTGGTGTTTACCAGGTGACCCTTCTGCTAAGGAGAATGCTGCTTTGAGGGGGTCCATGCAGTGGTTTCAGAGTAGCACAATCTCCCAAAGGTGGTTTATATGGACCCCTATCTAAAAACATCTTAGGTTTGTGCCATCATCTCCGAAACCAGGGTATCAGGTCTAAGAACAGACAGGTCTGTGGGGACTTTCCACCTGATCTCAGGCAGACCTTGGTTTGGAAGGTGGTGCCTTTGCCCGATGAGATGCTGGCGGCGGGGGATAGCTTGGGCTTCATGTACATCTTTGACACGGCGACTTGGTGCCAAGCACAGGAGAAGGGACCTGACCTCGAACCACTGACATTTACTGTATATATTGTAGTTGACTAGGACAAAGAGAACCCATTTAGTCCATTGAGATTGAGACCTATTGAGATCTGCTGTAGCTCACTGCTGTTCACCTCGGCATCGATCCTGGAGAGCGGCCTCGCGGCCGGGGAACGAACCAAACGGGCCCGCTGCGGGCGTTGTGGTTTGCAGGGCCCCGACGCTGTCATGCGGAAAGAAGTCACAGGGTCATGAAAAGGCCCGGGGAACTCAAAGATCTTAACTAGCTGGCCGGCTCAGGAGGGACGGCTGCAGGATTTGGTTTGTCTCTGGATTGGTTGTTGCAAAAGACAACCATCTAAAGGGCATTTTTGGGATCTGCGCCATGTACTTTAAAACCCACAGTACCAGGTCTAAAATAGATAGTGGCACGGTGTCCAATACATTCTTGGTGGGGATCACTTTTCTAACTATGTAGGGGTCCATTTTCTTAAAACACGCTACTGGTAACAAGGGCGTTACTACAAGTAGCAAGAAGCTACTAGCTGCACTAGCTTCTTGCTACTAGTAATGCCCTTGTTACTATATGCCATGGTCCTGGAATACCCACGAGTCTATAAACCATGCTCCTCTCTTCAGTCCTGTATGCCATGGTCCTAAATCCCAAAACGCGCTGAAACCACGCCCAGTTCGGACCGACTGAGTTCTCGTTGTCGCTTTCCGCCTCAGGTCGCCTGCGTGGCCCTGCAGCGCTTCGCGCAGCACCAGGCGGACGTGCTGGCGCTCTGCGCGGAGGGAGACCTCCTGGTGAGCGGCAGCCCCTGGGGCGGCAGGTCACGCGGGGCGCTGGCGGATGGAGTTGAGTGAGCCCTGACGGATGCGGTGCAGTGGTTTCCGCGACATGCAGTGGTTGATGGATGTAGATGGGATGTCGATGGCACGGAAAGGCATCCCTCGATGTCGGTGGCTTAGATGGACCCTTCGTTGGTCGAACACATCTTGAAGGGTGCCGGTGCCATCGACTCTGAAAGTGCTATATAAGTATGTGCCATGCGCCATGGTGAGCCCGTTTTTGGCCTACTCATGCCTCACTCATTTTTGATAGCGTCCCTTGCACAAAGCATCAAACCCCTTGGACCCTCCGTAGCAGGGATTTGTACCCTGAAAACCCGGAAAACCCTGTTTTGGAGGGTCCGGATCCTTACGGAGGTTTGGTGTTCGGAACATGGTAAATCCGAACTCAGGGCCATCTATGGAACTATGATGAACTATGATGAACTACTGGTATTCCAGGGAGTGTAGTCTAATCATCTAGCAGGTCTGCAAAAAGACGGCGCATGCCCCATACAGATCAACCCAACCTAATAGCGATGGCCTCCAACCTAGGAGCGACCGCCCATCCGATCAACCCTCCATCCGATCCACCCCAACCGAAAGCGGAGACCCCCACCCGTTCCTCCCGAGGCATGGACTGCCGGCTCTGCCACTTCCACCGGCAGCGGGGCTCACAGGCGCGCGCGCCGTGCGGGACGTCGCGCGACACCGAGGCGCAATGGAAGTGTCTGCGGGATTCATACGGTGTTTAAGGAGTGACACCGTTGGGTGAGGTTTAAAAAGCAGGTCTAACCATGTTCACATGTCCCGAAACCTTGAAAAGGCCTGTTTGATAGGTCACGATTTGAGAGACCAAAGGTCATGAACTGAAGGCCCACGATGTTCAGTCCGTGCAATCCGCAACTTCCAGCCTCACTCTCCAGTCCTCGGGACCGTGTTCGGGGTGGCCTTGATCTTTTCGCATAGGTTCTGTCATCATCTCCTGCATTGTGCCTTTATTGGGAGGGATTCATCTCCATAAAAGAAACAGATCAGCACTGTAAAGTCTACCTGCCGACCCAACTTTTGGAGCAACTCCGCACCCGCCGACCCGTGCTTTTTCCACACACACCGTCCTCGCAGGAAAGGTATGCCTTCACTGAAGTGAAGACGTGCCAGCTGGTGGCACAGCTGGTGGTTGGAAGAGATGTGCACCGGGATTTTTACCCTGGCGCAATTGGCGGATGAATTGGCCTGCTGTAGCCACGAAGTCAGACATGGCCAAACTTACCAGGACCCTCCCAAGGGGTGTCTATTCATAGCCCCTTATATAGCTGTGATTCGGGATGTCCATTCACCACCCTGAAGGGGTCCTCTACTACAGTTACAAAGGTGTCCCACAGCATCCAGGCAGTTCCCACGATGTTGCTGGTCACCAGTGGTTCCGGGCCCCTGGCTGCCGTCTACTCTACTGGTAACAGCCTGGGATGGACTGGGTGGCTGTTACAGTCCATTCATGTCCATTCTAATGCACCACCAGTTCACCAACACCGAGGAAAAGCGGACGACCTAGCAGGTGAGTATCTGGCATCCACTGGGAAGCCGCACCAGTGGGTGAAGTGCCGTTTTGGAGTGGTCTCCGCTTCGACTGCGACATCCGAGGTCACTCTCACGACATTCGAGCCATTGCGATTGACCCGACGAAGGTGACGCTTCGGCGGGCGGGGTGGGCGGGACGAGGGTTAGAGGACCAGAGATGGACGGAGTGTCTGTTTCTTGGTCTCAGGCCTAGGGAGAGGTTGAGCCCTTGGTGTGGCCTGAGCCCATACTGTACCACCAAAAAAGGGGTCCCAGTTCAGTCACCTGTTCTTGGTCTTTCTCCCGCCTTCCCTCTGCCAGGACCCCGACCACTGGACTTACGTCTCGGGGGGCGTCGCTGGATGCCTCGTGGTGCAGCGGGTCTTCCGAAAGCTTGGGCAGGTGGACGGGGTTTTAGATGCTGCTGCGAGCGTCGTTGCAGGGATGTTGCCCGTGGCGTCGGTTGGCACCTGTTGAAGGAAGAGGTAAACATAACACGGCCGAAGTGGCCCAGAAGCAGGCGCAAGAAGGGGATGGAGGCACTGATGCTGCTATGCCGATCAGTAGCCCCCATGTGAGTCGCCTCCGTGGCGTCTTCGCCTGCCAGGAGGACCGCACAGCAAGGCGGAAGGCACAGCCCCGGGAGTGCAGCGCTTTTTCGAGCTTCTTGCAGAAGGCCTCCCTCCGCGTGACCGAAAAACACGACGTGCGTGGTGGTGTTTGGTGGCTCAAGCTGTAGCAGCTAGTGGCCGGTGGGCCCGTAGATGTAGCATATATAGTATATAGCCATGTATATTACCATGTATTATTTAATTACCATCATATAGCCTCCTAGCCGGCCAAAGCATGTCCTGCGATCCAAATGATCCAATGAGGTTCTTTTTCCAATTCAATTGGTCTCATGCAGCTCAGAGAGGGCTCAGAGAGGGCTCGGGTGATGGAGAGGTCAGGGAATGGTGAGGAGAGCCAGCTGGCTGATGGATAGAGAGGGATTTACTTCCAAAAGGCGTTTGGAATTTGGAATGTGGACTCCTCACAAGAGAGGCAAAGTGAGTAGGCTGTTCTGGGGAGTGGCATTGCCCGTACGCCGAGAGAGCTTCAGAAGTCACTCTCTCCTGACTGGACAGGGGGCGATGCTTGTTTGGGAGACGCCCGGGTTGTGGTGCCCCCGCGATGTTGGATGGAGAAACACGTAAGCACACATCCCACGCCTTCGGCACATCCTACCCCCATCAGAGATCTGCTCAGCGCCTGCGACTGGCGACTGCATGAGGCGGATGTGGCACAGCAACGACGACTGGTCTTGTGCCAAATGGAGCAGAAGCTGGAGCTCTGGCACCTCAAGGCCTGGAATCAGGAGGCTGGTTTTTTGGGGGGCACACGGCAGGCTGTTGGCCAAGAAACCTCATGTTCTTCCAGGACCCAGCCCCTTGGTGTAGTTCATGGACGGCCCCTTAGCCGTTGCTGAACCTCTTTTGTCGGGGCTCTTCATGGCACCGCCGAACCTGGGGGGGCTCTGGTTCGGTCCATGTGGGCACCCGGATCCATTTGGAGCCCCTGCCGGTCAGACCAGCAGTTCCAAAGGAGTGCCGCACTTGGAGGGTATATGGGGATGCCGGTGACTTATCCACTCACTGAGGCACTATATCAGAATATCTGCAAAACCACGAACTGCGGGACCCGCTGGAATGCTTGCTCTGTGGTACGTACAGGAACCGGCGTGGATCACCGCTTTCGGACATGGCCAGCGCGAACGGTTCGTCCTTGACCGCACCAGGAGCCCACGAGCCAGCTGCTGCAAGAGGAGAGCCGAACTCCAAAAACACCTCCCGCCACCCAAGCGATGGAAGTGGACCACCCGCCCGGGTGTTCTTGAGGAAAAGCGGGTTTCCAATATAGAGGGTAGGACCCGGGACCAGAGTTCGGAGCGTCCTATTCCTCTCGCGGGAGGAGGGAGGGGTCACTGACTCCATCTGTGGGCCTCGCTGGTCCATCCCTGGGGCTCTACGTCCCGCTATGTCCCGCTGATCCGCTACGTTTCGCACCGGTGCGGCCGCGTGCAACGAGACAGGACGAGTCCTGGACTCCTTCCAAGCCACAGCTTCTGATCTCCCTCAGCCTGAAGGCCCAGGCGATGGACGATGGATGATAGATGTATACTCTCTCTCTCTATGTTTATGGCATTCATGTGAACATGTGTGAACCACAATTCCGGCTCCATCAAAACGCGGGGTATTGGCATTTGGGGAAGGGTGCTCCGTAACCTTTCTACCGGGCCTCGGGCTCCACCGCGCCAGGCCGCCACCGCCACCCCTGGGCTGTGCTCTTCGGCGCTGTCGCCGGAGGGCGTGCGCGTGGCGGCCAGCGACGCGGGCGGCACGCGGCTCTTCGAGATCGACGTGAAGGAACTGCAGGTCCGCGACCGACGGGCGCCGGTTCGCGTCCGCGGCGTCCGCACAACGCCCGTGCGGGGACGGGGGGGATGTGCGGTGGGTTTGGTTCTCGATCAAATGGGGATCATGGGCAGCTAACTATCAAATGCCTTGGTCCAGTAGTCTATGAAACCCCGGGACGGTCTGGTGTGGGGAAAGCGGAGGACATTTTGGAGGATCTCATGGGCATAATTCACCACCACAAGGACATTCCGCACACATACACACCGCGCGTGTTGGAGGATCCAAGAAGCTCCTATGCATGTACATCTACTTGATCTAATTCTTCGGTTTGCAGTGTGCCGGAACCACCACAAGCCTTAAGATTGTGTATCCCAGAAGCTTGTGCCACGCACCTCCACCCCACATAATGTGGCTCGCAGGTGCGCCGGGTGAAGGCCTTGCCGACGGAGCTGGCCCAAAGTACCATGCGCTGCATGCACTTCAGCAGCTCGGCCCGCGCTCCTAACAGGGCTCCGGCCGAATGACACGAAGTCAGTCCAAAGCACCTCAAAGTGAGGGTCGAAATCAGGACCCAAGAGGCTCCGTGCAGCTGCTGCTGGCAACGGTCGGCCCTTGTATTGTCCAGAGCCAACTGATTTAGTTACAGTGGTTTCAAGAGTAGGAGGCGCAAACCCCTACATGTCTTCTAGATGGGGGCCCATATAAACCACCTCTTGGTGATTGTGCCATCTACTCTGAAACCACTGTATTTCAAGAGCAGTGGCATGAACTGCGTCAGCACATGTCAGCACATCCGAGCTGAGGTGAGGACCGCTTGATTTGCGCGCGCTGGGAGGGTGGCATCCGGGTGCTGGCCCTTGGGTTGCATCCAAAAACTCGGGGAACAAGACCTTGGCCGCTCATGGCAAAGAATGCCTGGCTAATTAGAATCTAGAATGATTCCCATCCAGCTGCGTTGATTTGGTACTATTACTATCCATTAGTCGGGTGAGGCTGCTTTTTCGCACACTCTTCACACTCCGCAACAAGCATGGAATGTCCAGGTTTTACCCGCAACAAAGACAGCTTGACATAGAATGCCTCCCGGATTCCCGAATCGGCGAATGGTTTGCGCCAAGGATTGCAAAGCAAAGACTCTTGGAGCCAGCCAAGGGCGGGGCGGGGTTGGGTGGGTGGCAGGTGGTTTTGATAGACCGTTACTTTATATTCTATGTCATGTGGTAGAATCTCCACACGGAAAATTAATTGTAATGATTTGTATGATTTTTGTCACATTTTATGGAAGAGATCCAGTCGAATTGTCGAAGCCCCAAGCCCTTCTTTGGCTTCCATGGTCTATCATGAACGCAGCGTATGAAAAGGATATTCCTTTGCAAGCAGCCGAATGCTGACACATCAACAATAAGTATCCAGTGAAATGAACGCTGGGTTGCTGTTTCTTTCTTTCAGGTGCTTTGCCATGGTCCTTTTCAACCTCCTTCAGCATGGTCTTTCCTGCGCTCTCTCCTTGGTGAGGAACACCTGCCTCCCCCTATCAGGAAGACGAGACACCAACGCTGGTTCACACCTGCCGGTTCCCCGGCGCACCCGCCGGTTGAACCGCAGCATGTCCACCAGCTTGTTGCTGTGAACCCCCCTGAGCTGGTCGCCATGCTCGAGCATGGCCATGTCCCACACGTGCATGTCCCTGGAAGGCTCCCCAAAACGACATCCCCCCAAGCTTCCCATCAGTCCAACCCCCCCCCGGCTTGACCGGCCGATTTCGACCTCGGCGCGCCCACCGAAATCGGCGCGCCAACGACGGACGACGTGGCTGTGTGAAGGTGGAAAGAGGAAAGAGGTGAAAATCCCTGGGTCGAGCGGATCAGGAAGAGGACCTTGATCGCCCAATTGAAAGAGAAAAGGTACATAAAGGTACCATGGTATCATTTTGCCGCATCCTTGATCAGGAAGATGATCGCTCACTTCAAGGACCCGATGAGCTCAACGAAATCGTCGCTGGCGACCTCGGATCCGACCCTCGCCCTAAGATTCATGGCCCACCAGATGGATTTCATAGGCTTTAACGAAGAACTTCAAAACCGGCTCAACCATTTTGCAAAGGGTCGAAGGCTAGGCCCGCTTTGGGAACTAGACCTGCCCCAGACTGACATGTAGATCTTTTCGATTTGCTGGGTCCCATTAAACTACGACAAGACTCCCCCGAAAGACTCCTGGGACAAACAGCTACGCACGAAAACACCTCGATTCGGCGCTTCTTCACGAAAAAACATGGAGCGACAGACCGCCCCTGCCCCTGCCCAGCTTCGACGTGACGTGGACAGAGAGGACCTGCCTGAGAAACCACCTGCAGCTTTGTCCTATCAAAATCGAGGTGTCACATCCTCCAACTCTCCTGCTCCCCTCGGCAGTCGCCGCAGGAGCACAAGGCCCCCGTGACGCTCCTGGCGTCGGCGCCGGGCTGGCTGATCTCGGCGGATGTGGCAGGGGGAGTGGCTCGGGCGCAGGTGGGGGTGACGGTTTTTTGGGCACCACGGTTTGCTCGGGCTGGAGGCCGTTGGAGGCCGGAGGTTTCCAAAAAAACGGGTCATTTTTTGCGCGGGGCTCGCAGCAAGTCGAGGTGTCCAAAGGGGGCCCCCATCTTCGAGGGCCGATCCAGCTATGACCAGTGCTGAGAAGTGGGGCGACAGCTGCGGTTTCGGTGGAGAAGGTCCAAGGATTCTGAGGGTCTGGGTGGATCCGCCATGCATTCTGGGTGAACCAGACTCACCGGCCGCCGTTTGTGGCCGGACAGGGGCGGCGGGAGGTCGACGCTCTGAGCCCGGGACGCTCTGAGCCAGAGGTTGAATGACCCGAACTAGACTGTCCCAGTTCGGTACCCCAGTAGGTTCCGATTTAAGGTCCCTTAACCTCTGTTGGAGGGTGTCGACCTCCCGGCCCATAGTCTATAAGGTCCTTCAACCTTTGTTGGCTGAGCCCGGACGCTGAGGTGAAGGTCTTTGATCTGAAGACTCTCAAGCTTCATTGCTCCGTCCCCGGTCAAGACATGGCCACGTGGCACCAAGAGGGCAGCTGGTGGCGGATGGGTCAGGATGCAGCTAGAATGGGGGTGGGCACCTCCGACCCGCTCTCCACAGAGGCTCAACATTGATGGAGTCTTAGTAGAGTGCATCAAAGGGGCTGTAGAAAGAGGAACATGATGAAAGATTGGTGTGTTGATTTCTGTGGCAGTGTCACATGACCTACTGTACTTTATGGGAAAATAAAACTGGCAGCGAGTCAAGCAGTACTCCTCGCCGGGGTCTGCAGGTGTTCGACCGAGTTGAGGTCACGGTTTTTCAGCAGCATTCTGCAGGTCTTGGAGAGTGTTTCTCCATGGTGCCAATGGTTGAGTTGGACTCATGTGAAGGAGGTCCGTTTGAATTGCCACAGAAAGCCTTGGAATGTGTACTCGGAACTTTCGACGGGCTGGAGGTGGGGTAATCTCCTCAACCGAACTTGTCGCATCTTCTTCAGGCCACCGCCATTGCAGTGGTGCAGAAGCCCTCCCCGCGGGCAGTGGTGGTAACGGCGACGCACCAGTTGAAGGCAAGACAAGGGGGAGAGGAGAGCAACGGCATGCAATGGCCATAGTGATCAGCGAGGGAGAGCCTTTATGTGGCTGTGTGCCAGCGGGGCTTATCCGAAAGCAATCCTGCGGCGCCTGGAGTATGGACCCCTATACACAAGACATCTTGGGGTTTGTATGGGTTTGTGCCATCTACTCTCAATCCACTGTAGCAGAAAGAACTCCCTCACTCGGATTGCTGCAGGACAATGGCAAGAGGATTCTGACAGCAACACCATTCAACAGCAAGAGCTCAGTCGGAGCTTTGCAGGGCTCGGTTTTCTTTCTCCAAGTTTCAGCGAATGGATTGGACCTTCGGCCAGCCTATATACCAATCTTAGGTCTTCCAAAGCAGGCAGGACCTCGTTGTTGGCCCTACATTTGGGGTTTCATCTGGTCTGCTGAACTGGAATCCTGGAGGTGTTCGACCTGGAGTCTCAGAGCCTCCTGCACGAGCACGAGATTCCGCGCAAGTTTCTGGCGCACCATGCGCGCGCCGCTGGGTGGCGTGCGGTGAGACGTTTGGGTCTCGGGTCGGTTAGTCTTGGAGAACCTGGGCGCAGGTGGGTGCTGTAGATTTGAAGAATAGGGCGCAATCCCCAAGCTGGGTGGTTTACGGTTTACACCCATCTAAAGGACATCTAAGATGTGCCAGGGCCTCACCATCTACTCTGTATCCACGAATTCTGCGGGCTCTTAATTTGCTGGGCATGTGTTTCAGACAGTGGTCGGTCTATGCCCAGATCCAGGTGCCATTTGGTGCTTCCATTTGGAGCTTGCGATGTCACTGATGTCTGATTTCGGATGCGTTGGTCCGTCGTTCGGCGTGGCTAACATCAACATCCACTGGACACAAGTGGGCCCCCAAAAAGACCTCGTTTGGTGCGTCATGAGGGGTCACAAAAAAATGCAATGATGCAATGATGAGAACAAAACGTATGCCCTTCCTCAAACCACCCCAGAACCTGATTATTGGATATGATTGGTCTCCAAATGGTTGGAAAGGCGACCGAGCAGTCACAAAGCATGAAAGACAATCTCAACGCTTCCTCAGCAGTTCTCAGCTGAGGTTTCCAATTGTCTTGAACCAACGGGGTTCTGCAACATTTGAGTGTATTGGTGTGTTCTCAAGTACACATATTGTACAAACTCCTGTGCTTTTCAAGCTTCTGTGCCTCTCTCTTGTGCTTGAATGCTATAGATGTATGCATCTTGGTGTTCAGAGTGGGGAGTCTGGTGTGCCTGTATCACAGTACCACTTAGTCGATGCGTGCGCTAGATTCTCTGGATTGCGAGCGCCCCATCAATCCCCACCCAAATGTTCAGGTCCCTCCACCCTACCCGCCACATGGGATCTATTTCTCCCCTTCATGAAGGTCCGAACGGCCTTGCCCCAGGCGGGTATAGGTCTACTGTGCCCCCCACCGGCCCCTCTCCCGAGTCCGCCCGTCCGGGTCGCCCCGAGTCCGCCCCAGGTCTGCGGCGTGGTGTCCTTCGACCAGCGACCGGAGCCGACGCTGTTCGCTCGGCGGTGGGAGAGAGCGTTGGTCATGACTCATCGTTACCAACAGAGGTTGAAGGACCTGAACTAGACTATCCCAGTTGAGTACCCCTGATGACGGGTCCTATAATAAGGTCACTTAAACCTCTGTTGGTAACTCTTCGGGGTGGATTATGAGCACGAGGTGCGGGCCAGTACTGGAGTCATGGAGGGGCTCCGAACGTCGGGCCCGGTCCATCGAAGCTCAGGGTACCGGTGGGGTAGACACCCCTGGCGGCAGTTGGAGGGCTCTAGGGATTGGACGAGGGCCCTTATGGTTCTTGGGTATATCCCTGCCATGCTCCTGCGCAGGCGGTCTTGACATGTCACAGGGCCTTGCCCGTCAGAGGCATTGAGTTGATGGCGCCCCATCCTTCACAGTCCAAGAGAGGTTGAGAGACCCTATAGGACCCTGTATATAGTGGTACGTATGGGATGGGCTATAGGGCTGTTCAACCTCTCTTGGATGCTTGTAAAGCAAATCTGGCATCTCTCGTGTTCCGAAGACTCGACTATACACATCTCCCAGCCTTACGTAGGACTTCCCCTTCCAGAGCTCTTCAGCTCACCATTGGCCAAGGGCAAACGTGGGGCACACGGTGGGAGAGCATCGTGGTCAATTGTTTCATCCCAGTGATCACTGCTAGACTTACACTCCCTCGAAGCGGATGGCATGAGTTCGGATGATCAGCTTCCGAAGACCAATCAGGTGGTTGTCACTCCACTTTCATGATCATTCCCGGGCGTGGCAGCATGATTTCAACACCACAGTGAAGCACATTGATGCCCCCGTACGAAGCACCATCCGACGGCCCGATGGCCCCGTTGCTGCAGGAGAAGCTGATGTTATGGGGCCATGGCTTTGTTCTAGCGGTGCCGAGCTGAGATTTTGGCTGGTGATGCCCAGAGTGGGGGTGGGCGGCAGCTGGTGAAAAGCTGCTGGTCTTCACTGTCTTCCAAGAGTGCCCAATAGGGAGGCCTCCCAGGCGTTTCGACCCCCTGGAAGAAGGAACGTAGACCAAACACCCTTGGGCCAGGGGACCTCCCTATCGACATCAGTGATTCCACGATTCCGTGCATGCTGGTTCACCTGCCGATGCCCTCGTATTGCGACCACGGACCAGCGAGAAGAACTTCCACACCTGGCCGGCCACGCAGCTGGAGAATACCACTGGTACTCACAAAATAGAACAACAAAAGAATCCCGGCCCTCAAGTGGGAAGGGTTTGGAGGCCCCGCTATGGAGGAGGATCCAAGAATTCTGAGGGCAGCATAGAAGGGCGAACTGAGAGAGAGAGAGAGAGAGAGAGCTGGCGTCTATATAGTCACTTTGGGTCTGCCACCAGCTCAGGTGACTCTGGAGCAGGCGAAGGAGTCAGGACCCGTGTGGCGTGCTTGGCCAGAAAGCCCCTCGTCCTCGTTCGTGGGTGCTTGGGGTGAAGAACTGGAAGTGCTGCCGACGAGGAAACCAGCAGAGGTTGAAAGGACCCGATGTATTGACCTTCGACGATCCCTGTTGGGTACCCCAGGGTGAGGTAGGGTCCCATCAAACCGGTCACCAAAAAGCCTCACTCGAACATGGACGTGCTTGGACTGAGTTTTGCTGATTTGCCGGGTGTGTGAAGCGTCCGACGAGATGGGGGACGGGCGAGGGATCTCTTCGTCTCGGAGCGCTAACTAACAGTCCGTAGTATGTACCTTAGAGGGCTCCAATGATATAGTCAGGTGGTTGGACCCCCCCGAACCCACCCCAACCACCTTCTCAGGAGGTGGGCCAGGAGCCCTAGGGGGGAATGAACTGCCTGCATTGGGGGTGATTTGGAGATGTTTTAAGGGATGGTCGGTTCGTCGGTCCATTTTCTAGTCCCATGGATGGTCTGGGAGCAGATCACCAGGCCTTGAATCCCGATGTTTCCGGCGATTCGCCTACTGCTTCGCCTCCCCCCAATCCAAGCCCTTAGCGGATGCCGGGTGCGTTCAGGCGCCAAGAGAGCTTGAGAGACCCGGTTCCCAGCGACTTTCTGGTTCTGTCCATGAACCTGGGCGTTCAGAAAGGGCCTTAACCGTTCACCAACGCTCCGGGCGCGTGGCCGGTCGCCCAGGTCACGTCCTGACACTGTCGCCGGTGAACGCGGACGTGTGGGGCACCTACACCGCCGCGGCCCAGCGCGAGGAGCACGGCGCCGTGGAGGGCCGCGCGGTGGACGTTGGAGGAATCGGAGGATGGGAGGAGCGCGGAGGGTGTGTGTGTGTATGGCCTCCAATGACCCCTTTGAAATTGCAGACCCTGGTGGGGGCTGGTTGGTGCAAGATGTGACGTGGAGGAGGGCGACCCTGTTTTCAGGTCTTCCAGGGGCTTGGGGGAAGCGCTTTTGGAGCCGAAGTTGTTGGGGTTTTGAGGATGGTGGTTTTCTTTTGTATACAACCCAGACACTCCATGTATGCCATATATGCCTACGTTGACCCCTCAAACCACCCCAATGTAGGCATATATGGCATACATGGAGTGTCTGGGATATGGTGACAGATGGTGATAGTATGATTCCATGCTTAGTTCATCATTTTGCACATCTCCCCAGTTGATCATTCGCTCTTGGGAGCCTCAAGACATGGCGCGTCACACCTTGCAAACGCCTTGGGGACGTCCGTGGCCCCTCTCGTCCTGGTTTGTAACCGACCGCTGAGGTACCGAGCCCATGGTGGCTCTCGCGGTGGAGGCCAGGGACGGACCCGGACCGCTGCGTGGCGGGTCGGGGATCCACGGTGCAGGGAGGAGCGAGGAAAGGGCGCCAGACAGAGACAGGCGAACGGGGAACCGCGGGTGGAGGCAGGATGAGGCCGGAAGGAGTCCAGTCCAGTTCCATCCCTTGTGTGAGCCTCTTTGGCTCTAGGTGACGCCGGAGAGTGTCAAGCAGCGGCTGCCGCCGCCCTTCGAGCGGAAGAAGTTCAACAAGCGGAAGCGACAGCGGTGAACGGGTGCCACGGACCCGTCAGAGGTCGGATCGTGGGTGCGAGTGGATCCACCTCATGGGACCCTTTTTGGAGTCAAAGACTAAGGTCCCAGGACCAACACCAAGAGGTGTCTATAGATAGCCTCTTAGAGGTTAAGAGGCGCCCAAACACCACCGGATCTTGGAAGGTCCTGGTATATATATATATATACCCTATAGAGTCAAAGGCTATAAAAAGAATGGTCTGACGAACGGTGACCCGAGTCAAGGAATATCCTGGATCCTTCAGCCGGTCAACATATAGTCGAAGTGGACTTCTAGGGTGTACCCCGACGCGACTCATGGGACTGCCATGTCGGGCTGCCGAGAAACGGGCGTTCGGGCGTTCGGGGTGGTGTCAGGGGGGGTCTGTCTGGGGCGGCAGATATTCTGAGATCATGGAGTGTGCGGGATAGGATTGAACCCTATCGGATTTTCCCACCATTGATTGATATCTTGCTTCGACACATTCCCATCTATTCAACCTTTGGGAGCGATTGTTGTTCACCCACTGAGCACAATTTGTGCGGGAGTTGGAACCAACGATATAACCAGTCTTGATCCAGCATCCGCACTGCCAGGTCACCCGGTCGGTTCGACCTGGTTTTTGGGTCGCTGCCACCCCGGATTCGACCTGCTTCGACCGTTTTCGGATGCTGGATTTGGATCATCTCGGTCTTGGTTCTGGCGGGAGGATTCTGCGATTCTTCTGCTCGTACCTCCTCCTGGTCCAACATGGGGAGGCCCCCAAGCAGAAAACAGGTCTGGTTGTTCCAATCTATGGCGTGAGGACACTAAGATGTGACCCTCACTGCCCACGGGTGAGCCATCATGTGGTTCCACTACCTTCCAACCATATGCCTGGTTCTTCAAAGTGACCTTTTGATATCCCTGTGTGAGGTCACCAGTCCGGGCCTGTAAAAGGTCACTTGGGCACTCCAAAGAGGTCACGTACTGAAGAAGCTGGTGTATATCGATCCACACCGCCGGTCCCAAGGACACCCGAACCCTCACCGCCCCGGTGGGGCCGAAGCACACGAAAACGACGACGCGCCAGCCGCACGACCCCAAGTCACTGGTCGGTTTCGGGCATCCATTTGGGCATCCATTTGGGGTGCTATAGACGGTGGGAGACCATTCCCCCCATTTAGAGTGCCTGGAGACTATTCCAATCTATTCTGTTCTGTTGATTTTTGAGCCCGTCACTGTGCGGGGAGGGCCGGGGAGGGGGGCGTTGACCCACGTGCCAAAATTTCAATTGGGCTCCAGCTGCTTGTCAGTTTGTCAATGCCAGCTTTCATATTGCTTTGCCATGTTGGTCTCTCCTTGCTGTACCCTGCGGCCGCTGTGCGGCCAGCCATTGTTGACGCCTGGCGAGGGAAAGCTTGGGCCAGGGAATGGGTTCGGTTCATCACCCCAGCTGCAGAAGCAACGCCTATCTGGGTGTGTATTAAAATAGGGAGATCTCCCAAAGGCACCCTGGAAGAAGGGATCACAGATTAAAAACCACGGGTGTTCCCTACTAAACCACAAACCATCTTGCTGAATGCACCACTGTCGGTGGCCAGACAATGGCCTCCACCATTGGGCTAGGATGATAGGTGGCCACAGAATTCTGCCTTGGCGACCCAACGATGCTGTAAACCAGGACCCTCCCTTTTCGGGGTGTCCAAGGGGTATCCTACCCCACACTGGGCTAGGCCGTTCGGCTTCCAGGTCTGGGCACCCTGGACGGTGGAGAAGGTGGCCGGAAGATCGGCCAGCTTTCTAGATGCCTTCATCTGGCCTTCAGGGGGTACGACATGCGCTGAGATGCATGTCGTACTCTGAGTGGGGGGTCTTTCTAGTAGGCTAGGCCCTAGGCTTGCCACCTTGGCCTGAAACGCCCGGGATGGTGGGTAGGATGGTTTTGCAGGTTCCTTCAACATTCTACGATTCTACAATAAGTAATTCTTAGACTGAGACTCCCCAAGACTTCCCTCAAGCTAGCTTTCGCTGGTGCTTTTTGTGTCCAAGACCCACGAAACCACGATGCGTCCACAACGATTGCATGGTGGATTGCATGGCCCTCTTCAAAGACGGTGTTCCGCTTTAGAAGCCGGAAAACTCTTACTTTCAGGAGGTTTCCCCACGTCACTTCCCCTGAGTCGGAGTCAGCTTCCACGAGTCCTGTTTTCTATGTCATGTGTATTGGTGTCAGTCGTGCTCCACAAGGACCTGCTGGTGGCTTATGCTGGCTTGAGCATTGGCATGTTTCTGCCTTCGTGGAATCCATTGGCCCAGACATGACCTCTTTGGGGCGGAGCCATATGTCGCCCCAAATGGACCCCTGACATGAACCACCCCCTGAGCGGCATCTATTCCTTACTATGGAGCCTACCAACCACCCAAAGTATCGTCTCTTCTTAAGAAAAAGGAGGTCATGTTTGGCCTCCCTCGGTCTGTTCGGGTCCATTTCTCCGCGCCCCCGTCATGCCCGTGGATCGGTGGAACGGCCAGGCCTTGCAGGCGGAGGACGGGCAACTCGAGACCTGTGCCTTGGGCGATCTGTGAAGAAGCAGGGCGCATGGTCGGGCAAGCGCGGACCGGTCCGCGCGGTGGTTGGAGAGCCCTATGAAACGAGTCCCAGGAAGGAACACCAAAAAAGATCAAAGGGGGGGGACATCGGTCCATGGAGGAGGTGCCATCTCTCTCTCTGTCTCTACCTTTCTATGCGCATTCCCTCCTTCTTCAACGTCCCCCCAATGCCCTCCGCCCGCGGTGTCCGACGCCCCCCTGAGGCGCCTCACGGCAAGCGTGGGCGAAGCAACAGCTGGCACAGCTCATCGGAGGCGCTGGCGCAAGCGAGTCAGCGTGCGAGTGGCCAGGCATCGAGCGCCTCGGCCGGCAGATGGACTCAGCGCCCTGGGCGAGGGATGGACTCAGCTAGTGAATCCCTCTCTTTCGATGTTGCCAGGCAAACGAAACACCGCAAGATAACGCAAGGTAGACCTTGATCTTGCAAGAAGTTGGTGTTGGCAGGGGCTTTCTAGCCAAAGACTCGTGAAACACTATGCTCCATAGACTTGAGGCCCTCCATCGACTTGAAGCTCTGATATACTGCAATACAACGTGATACATATGGTGCACATAATCATGTGTCACTGCAGATCTAATCTTTCACCGAGTCTGCATTGGAACTGAAAAGCAAGTTGTTTTAAATGTTCCTTCTTGTTGCTTCAAATGCTCAGAAAGAAAGTGGTCTTTGTCAAAGCACAAGGCACGTCTCCAGCAGTTCACCAGTGACCCTGTGGCATTTGTGCAGAAGAATCCCGAATGCAGGACTGAACCGCTAGGAGTTGATGCGAAATGATACGAATTGCATTGAATTTCAGTGTTACGAATGACCAGGGGATCCAACTCGCATTGACAGCAACTCGGGCCTACAGCCTGCAGAGACAGGTGCACGTTAGATCTAGCAAAAGAATGTGAAAGACAGAGAGGAATCGAAGAGACACGAAGAGACATGAAGATACATAGCATTGTTTTAAGAAGGTCTTTCGCAGGTCATTGAAACTTACGTTTTCGGCAACTTTGGCATTTTCTGGCCACTTCCAAGTTGCAAAAAAACCAAGTGACCTCTCCGCTTCTGAATCCGTGCAGGAGCAGATTGCTGAATCCCCAGAGTCTGTTGATGCAGTTGAGATCGATTGAGTAGTGAATCCCTGGCTTTGAGTTGACTATGAGACAAATACGTCAGCGTTTCCTCAGCTTGAAAAAGTTACAGTAGGTGGGTGGTTGAAGGTTCTCAAGAGAATAGCAGAGGAGATGACTCTCACAATATCCTGTGTCATAAATGCTTGCAGTAAATGAACAGCAACACAAGCTTTTCTTTCTTCCATTTTGTGTCATTTTCGGTCTCTTCTTATACCATGTCCTTCCTGCTCGAAGTGCAAGTAGGTATTACTGCAGCTGCCTGCGTGTTCACGTGGATGGCAACAAGATGCAACAAGTATACAGGATCAAGATGAGTCAAGTACATGTGATAAACCTTTATTGTTGTTTGTAAATGATATATTAGTATATATAAGATGATAATATTGTATTACATATATATATATGTAATATATATATATATATGTATCATACACATAGTTTAACTAGATATAACTGCAAGCAACGCGACTACTGTAAGGCTCACTGGGAAGCAGCTGTGTTTCCTGGTTCTCTTGCAGCACATGGTCTCAGAGGCGCCGCATGGAAACACCGTACTCGTATATTGTTGAGGCATCGAGAGTTATCGCTATACAACTGTGTCAGAACTGTTTTCTCTCCTTTTCTTTCATTTCCGTATTTTTGGTCATCAGTTGTGGCTCAAAACTGGGGCTTAGCGCTGGACAAGAGGTCAGCGCCATGATTGCCGTTCTGCTGGCTGTCACGGCCATGTACAGCATCCAGGGTTGCATCTATGGCTTGAGCGACAGTACCATCCCGCAGCTGCTGAATCGAAAGGAAACCTCTCTGGGAGCCACTGAGGTTCTGGCCATCGTTCATCTTCCTGCAGCTCTGAAGGTCTTTTTTGCACCTCTGGTGGATTATGGTGCTCAAAACATTCCAGGGGGTTACAAGAACTTGATGATTGCCTTGCAAGGCCTCGTGGCTGCTGCCTTACTGGCCCTCATCCCTCTACTGCCTGAAGCGTTGCAGAAAGGCCGCTCGGGAGCTGAAGAGCTGCGATGGCCTTTGTTCCGGGTGGCCTTGTTGAATGCAACTGGAGATTTGATTCTGGATGCGTTTGCTCTGAGGCAGATGCCGGCGAATCGGCAACACCTTCCGGCAGTATGTCAGGTGATTGGAATCTTTGTTGGCACGACAGTTGCGAAATCAGGACTTTTCCTATTGATGAAGCTGGAAGTCCTTTCAGTGGAAGGGGTAGTGGCAGGTTTTGTGGGTTTTATGGCAATCACTGCTTTGCTTGCGGTGCTCGCGGTTGCTCTGGCAGGCAAGGCCGACAGGAATTTAGCAATGGTGCACTTCCGCGACGTGTTGCAGGGGTTCTGGGTCTTCACAACACATCGTCCCAACATGGCACATTGGCTCTTGTATCAGTTCTTCATGCCAGCAGTCAACTTTCATCACACCGTGGTCCTTCCGAGTCGCTATGAGCAGTGGGGGTTCCAGGGTGAAGACTATGCTGCTTACGACTTGCCATTGGCCTTAGTCACGCTGAGTGTCCTGGTGGTGGCCTCCACAGCTACTAAAGACACCAAGAGACAGCTCTCCTGGGTCATGATGGGCTATATCTGTGAGGCGCTAGTGGTACTCGGTTTAGTGGCCCAATACTGCTCCTGGTCGGGAAAGCCCACGGCCACCTTCAAATTCACATATGCCGTGCTCAACAAGTTGCACGATCTCTTGTTCTTTGTTTGCGACATGCTGGAGTTTGCTTTCATGGGTCAAGTCGCAAACCTGGAGCCCAAGCTGGTGGCGACTCTGGCCACCATCCAACTTCAGTCTTCAACTTTTCGAACTTCTTTTACTCCTGGCTAGCTCCGACCTTGGTCGATCGTTGGTCCTCTTGTTCCAGAGAATATGAGACCTTCTCTTGCGACTACGACGCCTATCCGTTGGTTGCGTTGGGCTTGACCATGGTCACTTTAGTCTTCCTGGTCTCGCAATGGAAACGCATCAGTGCATATCAAGACGTGACCTGTTGTGGATGGCAACACAAGGACAATCCCCTTCTTCGCCACAAATTGACCATTGGAATAGTCTTGGGAGGGATTTCCCTCTTTACTTGGAAGGAAGTCATGCAGTGAACCCGCCTCAGCAGAAAGTAGGCAGGACATCTCGATTTGCCTTGACAAAGAGGACATATTTTTGGTTTCATCTGGGTCATTCTGATCGTTCTGGGTCCATTTGATTCTGTGAATGGAAAAGCACGACCCAAAGCATACTTTTTCATGAAGGTCATGAACACCTGAAGAAGGTGAAACCATGGTCAATACGACCTGCGTTTGGCTCAAGGAACAACGTGAGCGGCTGTTTTTCGTCGGTCGCTCTTGAGGCTTTTTCCATAACCACAGGTTATGAGCCCAAGGAGCTTTTGAAGTCCACCCTCTTTTGAGGTCGCTGGTCCCCATGAGCGGCTTGATGGCGCGGCGACGACGCTCCTCCCGAGAAGGAGGCAGGCTGAGGGATCCAGGTGACCAAGGAGGGCAACTGCGGGTGGGAGCAGCTGATGAGAGGCTCGACGCCCTCCTCGAGGAGGCTAAGGCAACGTCAATGCCACCTGCTGTGAAGAGAGTGGGTGGAGCTCCAGCGGCCATTGAAGCGAGGAGATCTTCGGCGGCGGCAAGCGGGGCTGGTGGTAGACAACCTGGCTATGCACCTGAACGGCAGGACCGGGGAGCTGGCTGGCAGGAGACGGTGAGGCAATCCCTTGAGGTGTTGCAAAGGGCCTTTGGACCGAACTCCCAAGGACCGATGCCGGTGGGACCTCCGCCTCCTGAAGGACTTCTTGGACCTCTATTTCATGGCCGCGATCCGGGACACCCTCGCGACGGCGATCCAGGACACCCTCGCGACGGCGATCCAGGACAACCTGGAGGGCAAGGGGCTTGGCAGCGGGAGGCACCTGCATCGCCTCAGTTTCCATTCCCGCCGAGAGCGGACCGGAGCAGCATGAATGGTGAAGGTGGTCCACAACCTAGAGTACTTGAGCCCTACGACATGTCCACTCCCCATCAACATGGGCGGCAACAGACCAATCCTTTTTGGAGCGATCATGGTCATGCACCTGATGTGGGACCCCGTTCTGAGCGTCCTCAACCCCCTAGTGAAGAGGTGAAGAGAAGCCCGATGTGTCAGGAACTGGAAGCCATTCGGGAGCGCATCCTTCGTGAAGCCCATTTGAACTTCGAGAAGGAGGTCAAGAGGCTGACAGGTGGTGGAGATTCGTCGACCTTTGAATCGGCGAATAGTGTGGGCGAACGGGCGAAACTTCGGGGTTCCACTGACGGTCAAGGTGGGAACCATGGTGATGGTGCGGGTGAATCACTACCTGATCGACCCCCTGGATTACATGAGACCACAACCGGGACATCGTCTTCAGGGCTTGGTGGTGGACCAGGGAAGGTGACCAGGATTGGTGCTGGAATCCCCGTGGCGTCGACGACTGAGGCCCTGAGAAACCTGGAGCTTCCATCACTTCCAGCACCCAATGGAGAAGGAGCCTCGATCCTCTTCGGCGACTGGCTGACTATGGCATTTCCGTTGATGGCCGACATCTCCAACTCAGCGAAGGCCTGGTGGGAGGAGTCACTGATGGTTGCACAGGAGCACTACTCACGCTGGCTGCGACTGAGCCCATTGGAGAGGTTGAGATCGAAGCCCCAAGTCGAAGTGGATCCAGCATTTCAACGAATTGAACAGCGTGGAATTGCCATGCTGCTCGGAGCGCTACCTGATCAGCTTCGTCGGGACCTGGTGTCTGGAAGGCAGCTGTCTGTGGTGCACATCTTGTACCGGCTCCATGTGGCATACCAGCCGGGGGGCGGCGCTGAAAAAACGCAACTCCTCAAGAATTTAGTGGAGTCGAAGTTTTCCACATCGGTGGGAGATTTGTTGATGCAGGTCCGGTTGTGGCGACGTTGGCTATCTCGTGCTCAAGAACTTCACCTCAACCTCCCGGACCCTCTGGTCCTCATGCATGCCCTGCAGCGCATGATCGACAGCGCTCAAAAGGCAGGAGGCACTCAAGTGTCATTCAGGATCTCAAACGTTCGGCAAGAACTCCGAGTTGACTATGCAGCTTCATTGGAAGGAGTCACTGAGCTGGCTGAGTATGTGCAGGCGGAGATCGAAGAGATGTCTCTTACTGCTGCTCAGAAGGGTGGTGCACCACTGGCTCAACCGGCTGCCTCGTCCAACCAATCGGCCTCGACGTCACTGAAGGCTATGGCATCGTCATTTGGAGCAGCTGAGAATGAAGAGCGGGCAGCGGGAAGGCCTGCTTGTAAGTTTTGGAAGTCGGAGGAAGGCTGCAGGAGGGGAACGTCTTGCACCTATGCCCACGACACCTCGGACATGAAGAACCGGTGCTTTGGTTGCGGTGGGAACCACATGAAGCGTGAATGTCCTCACCAACCCAAGACTGGAAAGACAGACCCAAAGAAAGTTTCAAAGGTGAAGGCCACAAAGGAAGGAGAGAAGGGGGAGATCGTCGAGAAGATCGCCAAGGAGCAGCCCATAAGTGAAGAGCCGTCTCCGGGGTCATCGCCGCCTCCTACCACGACCACTTCGAGAATGGCAGAAACACCTGAGAAGCCACTGGGTCGGGAAACTACGGCAGAATTGCTTTCTGTGAAGGAGTTGAAGCCGGTAGGCACTGATGGTTTGGCACCTGTTGGATTACTGGATGGGGGAGCGACCAATGGCCTTCGTCGAGCACATCAACAGGAGCTGGAGAAGATGTACCCAGTGAGGGTTGAATTGGCCTCAGGGTCAACGATGTTGTTCAGGGTGGATGACCACAAGACTTTGCTGTCCAAGGACCACGTGGAGGTCATTGTCCCGCTCCATCGATTGGTGGGCTTGGGGTATCGGCTTCACTGGACCGCAGCTGGAGTGAAGATCAATCACCCTGGTCATGGCAGGATTGACTGCGCACTTCGTGGAGGATGTCCGGTTCTACCTGAAGCCAAGGCGCTGGAATTGCTCAGCATCATGGAGAAGGCAGATCGGGGGGAGATCTTCAATGATGATGAAGTACGATCATGGTGGTCATCAAGATTTCCTGAGGTCCCTGCAGAGGTGTGGGAGTTCATGAAGGGCCAGGACAGCTTTGATGCTTGCACTTGCCCCTGGAATCGACGTCAGCGGCGACGGCGCCTGGCGTCTCGTGGTGTGATTGTCAACCTCTTTGCCGGGAAGGACTATAAGAGTTGGTCTAAGACGGACTGGGGTGGCTTTGAGATTTTGAATGTGGATGTGACGATGGGTGCACAGTTTGATCTCCACGGCATTGGAACCTGGGGGTATCTATGTCACCTAGCTCGACGAGGACTGGTGGTGGCTGTTCTGGGAGGACCGCCATGCCGCACGGTGTCGCGTCTCAGGCACCGGGCTCCAGGTCCACGTCCGTTGAGAGGTCGAGATGACCGTCGATTCATGCTGGAGGGACTGTCTTTGCCGGAGCAGGAGCTTGCCCTCAGCGATTGCGCTTTGATGATGAAACAGATTGGTCTTT